GTCGTGTGAGAGGTGCGCCCAAATGGGGCGGGACCGCCATGCGAACCCTGCCACTGGGACCGAGCTCCCTATGGGACCACGAACCGTGTGAAGGGTTTGCCAAAATGGGGCGGGAGCGCCATGCGAACCCTGCCACTGGGACCTTCGGTGGAGCTCCCCATGGGGCCACGACCTGGTGAGGGGTTAGCCCAAATGGGGCGGAGTCGCCATGCGAACCCTGCCACTGGGGCCGTCAGTGGAGCTCCCTATGGGGCGGCGAACCGTGTGAGGGGTGCGCCAAAATGCGGGGCCGCTATGCGAACCCTGCCACTGGGGCCTTCGGTGGAGCTCCTTATGTGGCCACGAACCGTGTGAGGGATATGCCCAAATGGGGCGGGGCCGCTATGCGAACCCGGCCAGTGGGACCTTCGGTGGAGCTCCCTGCGGGGCCACGAACCGTGTGTGGGGGGTTTGCCAAAATGCGGGGCCGCCATGCGAACCCTGCCACTGGGGCCTTCGGTGGAGCGCCTTATGGGGCCACGAACAGTGTGAGGGGTTTGCCAAAATGCGGAGCCGCCATGCGAACCCTGCCACTGGGGCCTTCGGTGGAGCTCCCTATGGGGCCACGAACAGTGTGAGGGGTTCGCCCAAATGGGGCGGGGACGCCATGCGAACCCTGCCAGTGGGACCTTCGGTGGAGCTCCATGCGGGGCCACGAACCGTGTGGGGGGTTTGCCAAAATGCGGGGCCGCCATGCGAACCCTGCCACTGGAGCCTTCGCTGGAGCCCCCTATGGGGCCACGAACACTGTGAGGGGTGCGCCAAAATGCGGGGCCGCTATGCGAACCCTGCCACTGGGGCCTTCGGTGGAGCTCCCTATGGGGCCACGAACCGTGTGAGGGGTGCGCCCAACTGGGGCGGGGCCGCCATGCGAACCCTGCCACTGGGACCTTCGGTGGAGCTCCCTGCGGGGCCACGAACCGTGCGAGGAGTTTGCCAAAATGCGGGGCCGCCATGCGAACCCTGCCACTGGGGCCTTCGGAGGAGCTCCCCATGGGGCCACGGACCGTGTGAGGGGTTTGCCAAAATGGGGCGGGGCCGCCATGCGAACCCTGCCAGTGGGCCTTCGGTGGAGCTCCCAATGGCCACGAACCGTGTGAGGGGTTTGCCAAAATGCGGGGCCGCCATGCGAACCCTGACCCAACACCACAGGATGGTTGGGAAAAATTGGCCTTCCCGTTCCCGCATCACTTCCGAGGTACCTGACAGTGTGCCCCAGAGCAAGTGTGGCACTGACACCATGAGAGCAGTTGCCAGGCCCCGGCCTGGTCGGCAAGAACTCCGCGGGAGGGCGGCTGGAGCGAAAGTGTACCCCCCGAGTGCTCAGCGCAAGCGTTCCCAGGAGTTTCTGAGTCGGGCCTTTCTTCGCGCAGGGTACATGCCAACTGCCGAGACGCAGGGCTGATGCGCTGAAAGCGCCCTGGCGCCCACATGCCCATCTTGGGCCAGGCCTGGCTGTAATCACGAGTGTCCTCCCTGACCCTGGCCACAGCCAGCTTGCGCTGATATCTGGGCCTAGAGTTGGCCTGCTGGCGCCTGGTGGGCGGTTTGCTGCTCTCTGACTTCGTGATTTTTTCACAACGTCGACCCCCAGAGGTCTGGACCCCTTTCCCAGGACCAGGTCTTCATCCTGAGCCGTTGTTTGAGGGTCCCGAGGGCAGGTAAGGGCTTCCGGAGGCCGAGAAGAGGGAGAAGCCTCCCGTCATGTTTTTCCCAACCATCCTGTGGTGTTGGGTCCTCGTTTTGAAGAGACGGTGCCCCGCGTTCTCCTTCCTCCCGCTGCCTCCTCCCCCCTCCTGCCGCCCGCATGCGTCACGCACGCCCAATTCGGCACACCCCTCACACGTTTCGTGGCCCCATAGGGAGCTCCACCGAAGGCCCCAGTGCCCGCGCCCGCATGCGTCACGCACACTCAATTCGGCACACCCCTCACACGCTTCATGGCCCCATAGGGAGCTCCACCGAAGGCCCCAGTGCTGCCGCCCGCATGCGTCACGCACACCCAATTCGGCACACCCCTCACACGTTTCGTGGCCCCACAGGAGCTCCACCGAAGGCCCCAGTGCTGCCGCCCGCATGCTTCACGCACACCCAACCCAATTCGGCACACCCAATAGGAGCTCCCCGAAGGCCCCACTGCCGCCCGCTGCGTCACGCACACCCAATTCGGCACACCTTTCGTGGCCCCATAGGAGCTCCACCGAAGGCCCCAGTGCTGCCGCCCGCATGCGTCACGCACACCCAATTCGGCACACCCCTCACACGTTTCGTGGCCCCATAGGGAGCTCCACCGAAGGCCCCAGTGCTGCCGCCCGCATGCGTCACGCACACCCAATTCGGCACACCCCTCACACGTTTCGTGGCCCCACAGGGAGCTCCACCGAAGGCCCCAGTGCCGCCGCCCGCATGCGTCCCCCACACCCATTTCGGCACACCCCTCACACGCTTCGTTGCCCCACAGGGAGCTCCACCGAAGGCCCCAGTGGCCGCGGCCGCATGCGTCACCCACACACATTTCGGCACACCCCTCACACGTTTCGTGGCCCCATAGGGAGCTCCACCGAAGGCCCCAGTGCCCGCGGCCGCATGCGTCACCCCCATCCACTTCGGCCAACCCCTCACACGCTTCGTGGCCCCATAGGGAGCTCCACCGAAGGCCCCAGTGCCCGCGGCCGCATGCGTCACCCACACACATTTCGGCACACCCCTCACACGCTTCGTGGCCCCATAGGGAGCTCCACCGAAGGCCTCA